TACCAATTATTTAATCTAAATTTTAGTGGTAAAACGTTTATTTAAGTCAAAGTTTGATTTTTCCAATTTTTAAAATATCATTTATGGAAATTTTAAAACATGATTTAATTATCAATTATTTATTATCCTTATATTTTTCATAACTTTTTTATAAGTTTAACTGGTATTAATTTTTTATTTTTATGTGTTAATTGTTACACTCTGTATTATCGTATATATATCTCCTACTTTAAATAGACTGATTTTTTACCAAGTTGAAATTATTATGTATAATCATGGTAATTACTAAGCCAATTTAATTGTTAACCGCATTTAAAGAGTTTTAATATAGTTTTTTTTAAGAATAATATTTTCATGCAGTAGGTTTTAATATAATTTATGGTAATTTTTATTTGTATGAGTATTCATACAATAAGCACAATTGTGTTTTACAAAATGTCCAAATAATCATACTTTTGTCTGTGTTTTTATTTCAAGATATTAATTAATTTACTTATTTTTTGATGATAACATATTTTTTTATTTATACAAAACACACTTAAATCACTGTTTATGACAATTATTACAATTACAATTAAAATAAATTTACTTTTTATATTAAATATAATTTTTTTTACATAATAATTAACCCCCTTCCCTTCGTTGAATATTTAATCATTTATTAAAATATCTTTTTGAATCACTATTACTGAGTAATGACTATACGCATTACAATACAATAATATTACATAATGTTTAGGGCCCGGATTTATATGCATTTGAATGTTTTTTCTGAATAGTCCAAAAAATAACTAGGTAGCTTCAAGTTCGATTTGTAGTCAATAAATTCGAAGTATAAAGTTTTTTTTTTGCATATTTTTGCATATTTGTCATTTTTTAACATGTACTGTATTTTACGATTTAAATATTGCATATTATATATATTTTTTAAATGCATAATATGTATGTAATATTTTGCTTTTTTTAAATTAAAATAACATATTTACAGTCCGTGTAGTTTGGTGAAATCTTTATTTGTTTTAACCTGAGACCTATTGGGACAAGTAGTAAACTTTTATTGAGTAGGCTTTATACAGGAATCTGAGTGCGCGTAACTTTCATTCGATTTTATTTATATTTAATAAAAATAAAAGACTTATTTTTAATCAATTTTTTATATTTTATAGAATATATTCCTATAAAATAAACATAAATGCATATTTTATAGTGCATATTGTTTAGGTTTTTAGAGTATATAAATCCTGGCCCTAATAATGTTATAATTTGTTTAATCTTCAGGCGGCTAATAATAACTAAACATATCAGTACCAATACAAATACAAACAAAACCGATAAAAAAAATAATATAATTTATCTTTACATTATTAATCAATCGACTTACATTTTCTTATTTTATTTTAACCATACTCGGGATTGATTTTAATTTACGAACATTATACTTTAAAGATAGATAGCATACATATATATACAGAGTGCGGCATAAGTCGGTTCCTTCCCCAATTAACACAAAAAATTAAATATGTATATTGTATATAGATTTATTAGATATTATAGATTTTATTTATATTATTAAGTAATTACAAAAAATCACTAGTTATGCTAACTGATGACCATCTTTTTCGATGCAACTGCGGAAACGAGAGCCCACAGAACGGCATGTGCCGACTTATGCCGCACTCTGTATATATATCTTTTATGATATTAAAAGGTTATACCGTTTATTGTATATGATATAAATTTATAATATGCGTAGCTGTTCAAATATTTAAACATACTCTTATATTTTGTTTGTTTATTGTTAATAGCAGTAAACACAGAATGCAGTATGATTGTTCCATAGACGAACCGCGATATTATATTATCATTACATTATTGTAGAAATAATCGACTTACTCACTACGCTTAAAATATTGTCAGATAACACGCGCCCCCCGTCATGATAATAATTCAAATAGTATATATTAACAAAGATTATATTTTTGATTTAATGACTTTTGGCCGTGGTCAAAGTACACGTTTTGTATGATTTTAATTAGAATTGAAAAATTAAACACCAAAACTATGAATCATTTATGTTAAAATGATTTAATTATACTGTATGAAAAAATCACTATAATGATATGATTATTAATTATTAATTACTTTATGATTTCCGCCAGATTGATAAAATTATACTCAAACTATGCATATATATGCTCATGATATCGCTTGTACGAGATTAAAAGGAAGAAAAGTTAAAAAAATGTGTTTGGTATAAATTATTTATCACAATAATAGGCAATGTAGTATAATATGTGTGTGTGTAAGCGACCTATAGTCAAATCTAATATTTCATACAAGTTTGTTAAAGCTTTACGAATAAAGATAACTAAACAAATATGATTTTTAAATTTGGTAAATTGTACATAAATAAACAATAATCATACCCTCAAAGATGTATATCTTGAAGCTAATATTTAAAATTTTTACATTTTAAGGAAAGGTTCATACAAGAATTATTTGATGAATCACGAAAACGAATATTTTTTTTTGATACTGAGTTGTCATATGTCACATAAAATAAAATATTTATTATAATTGGATATAATTTTAAACCTGTATATTATATTTGGTAAAACTACCCAAGTTAATGTATTAAAAATATGTGTAGTTTACATTTTATAGAGCATAGGATAGAGTAAAACACTTAATACTGGAATTAAATTTGTCACGAGTGACGAGCTATATTTCTGAAGATTAGCTAATAATATATAAACTAAAATATTATATTATTATATTCAGCGTATGATATACATTTTAATATTAAATTTAACTTTAATTGGTATACTATTCAATGTCAACTAATTAAAAAAAATAATAAAACCCTAATACGTATATAGACTGACATATACATATACACAGCAATTTTGTAAATATAGATAAATGTAATTTTATGTCAATAATTTAATTGTCCGCTATTAACCAAATAATTGATAAATAATGTACATGTTGTATAATATTGTTTTATCCAACGTTAATAAAAATTAAAATTCTCAAACTAATTGATTTATTTTAATATCAACTTGAATGGTTTTATTTTAAAATTTATAAATTACTGATATTGCTTATGTCTGTTTTCGAAAGACGATTATGTTTAGTTAATAATAATTATTATAGATTAGTAAAATATTTTTCTAAAGTATAACAATTATCATATCATAATATATTCATATTATATGCCTACAACCTATATAATATATTTTATAAACGCCTATAAATATTGTATTTTAGTCTAGGAATTCAACGCGCTGTATAAATGTATGATACAAGATTCTTCCCAGGGACTGATCCAGGGGGGTCCAAGGGTCTAGCTTCCCGAAACGTATTATTTCTCACATTTTTTTTATAACTCTACAGATTCTGATATTAATATATTTCAAATTACATAATATACGTCAGATAATATAATATATTATACATTATACAGGGTGGATATATATATTATATATATAGGAAAAAGCGAATATGTAAATAGACGTTTAGATTTTATTATTTAATTTCTAAATTTTATATTATATTAAATAATCATTAATTTATTCATTATATTGATTATCTATACTTACTTTTATAACAAAAATTTTAAATTATGAATAAAGTAGGTACAGTAGAACCTCGATTATCCATGACTCGATTATCCGTGCCCATTCTTTCGAAAATTTTTAAACATAATACTCGATATCGACAATCGTATAAATGACATTTTTAAAATTTCATAATTATAAAATTGTACCTATGTATTTCTAATTATAATTAATTAAAAAATGTCATTATTATAAAAAGTCTCGATTAACCGTAATTTTCATTTATCCGTGTGACCCTCTCACCATCATTACCCCGGATAATCAAGGTTCTACTGTACCTATTAAAAAATTATTCGCCCCTCTCCCAGATTTTTGATCTCGATCTGTGCCTGAATTTTTTCCCTCGTTATCCAGCACATAATCGCCGAAGCTTTGATAGTTATTAGTTAGACACCTTTCCTTTTAGTGTTTATAGAACTTGGTGAAAATTTAGGAATTATGTGACAGCAGAAAGGTTTAGTCCATTATTTTAATCGTGGTCACAATTTACATATAATTACAGTCTACCGGGACATCTCTGATATTATTAATGAACTATAAATAAAGTACGTATTGAGGGAGGGGGACGGCCCCTCAAAGCTCGTGTTATAGTTTCATAAGATTATAAATATAATATAATCTACCTTATATTTAAATAATTTTGTATAAAAATCATAATTTAAGAAAGTATTAGTTAAATCTTTATAATAACACTGAATAATTATTCTGTGATATTGTGTTAACAATTTACACTAAATGAAAAAAATACATACAGATCTAATTTTGTAGAAAATGACAGTTGATTAATAAATAAAATATTAGGCACAAAAAATAATTTTTTTTTAATACAAGAGCACGCCGGCGCATATTATAAAAAAAATATTAAGTAATTGCCAAAGATACTGGGTATTTCACTCGGCAAAGAACATCAGGTCAGAGGACATCGAACAGCGTATAATCATGGTTGAAAAAAATATCGATAGTATAAATAATTATATTATAATATAACACGGCTCCAGAACACGTCCATTTTGGTTTTCAATATTCTTAGCAGTGGCGAATTTAAGAATTTAACACCACAGGTATACAGGCTAGGTACCCGGGTACAAAATATGATGCTATTTCTTTTTCATTAACATTTATCATAGACATTCCTATGAGACTATAGGCTCCCATGAGGGCGTGGTCAATTCGCACCAAAATTGACCCTAAATATTTACATGTGTAATTTGCATCAAAATTTTTAAACTGTGTTTGTAATTTGCACCAAAATAAAAATCGATTAATATAAGATAAGTACTATCGAAAGAATAATCGTACAACCTAATCGTTTAACCTAATAAAATACATCATAAATATTTTACTTTTTTTATATGTGATGAGTAAAAAATTATCACTTACCCACTATATTGTTCTCACTTTTTTATCACCGTCGACTGTTTAATAACTGTGTAATTCGACGTTTAAAACGCGTACTGAAACAATTTTGACTATAATGGCTGAAACTGGATCTCGCTGTAATTAAGTTAAGACGTTCAGAACGAAATAACGATTGCTCGACATTTTACATCGATATTTGCTGTGTATCACTGAAAATTACAATACTAATAAATAATAATAATAACAAACTGAGATAACATTATAATATGTATACAAAAAATTTGTGAACCGTAGATTACCGTATATTTTATACAAATAGAGTTCATAGGGTTAACGGTTAAGTACTTAAATATAAAAGTAATAATATAACTTTATTAAGTTATTACGATAAACCATGGTAGTTGTTATTATTGTGTGCGTATAAGGCGATTGTATATACGTTCAATTTATCACTGCGGTAGATAAAAATGAATTATTATTATTTATGCTGCGGCAAACGGAAAAATTATTTATAGTTATACGAGTAGTATTATTAATGTTAGAAAAGCAAACGAGTTGTAGGTTTTCAAATATCACACAACGGTTGGAAATTAAAAAAAATATTTCGGGTCGTTCTATTGAGCGATTTTTAATCAAATTGGTAGTGCTTAGTACTTATCTTGTAACTTTTAAGTTCAGCGGTACACGATTTTATTTCGCATATGTCAATATACATGTAAAATGCATTTATAGACTTAAAAAAATCAGTTATAATGTATAGCAATAGAAGACGAGATCGTTTTTTTTTATAACATCCCAAAACTTAAAACGAAAGCAGCTAGTCACCACCTATATGCTATAATATATAGTTATTACTGCAACAGTATGTAGGGCTAAGATATATACATACAATAAAAATATGGTAGAATATGCGTTTTATTTTTTAAAATATATAAAAAATAAAATATTTTGACATTCATTAAACTTAAGTTTAATCCTGATTATTTTAATTATAAAAGAAACGATTCTTTTAACACAAAAAATTCTTTATTATGATAATTGCAAAAATAGTATAGGTTTCGTTTAAATTTCTAAAGCTGATCTTTAAATGGCCCTTAAAATATTGTGAAATAATAAAAAAAAATTGTAAGTTATCACTAATTATTTTAAATATTTAATAATAAAAATGACTTTCGTATTAAACATTTTTCTCTCTTATGGAAATTTTATATTTATATGATAAAATATCTATAACATACATTTTGAATCCTCGTGTATTATACATATTTATAAAAAAGAGCACTATTTGTAGTATGTTAACTTATTGATAAAAAAGAAGTGTTTTCCAATGGGTGTGTCGTAAAATGTTAATAAATCCTTAAGTCTTAACTAATAATAATGTGCTGCGATAGATAATAGTTTAGGATCACTATTATATAAATGTATTAAAATTAAAAATATTTTCATATCCGGAATTAACCTATAGACATGTCCTGTCGGTTATTTTCACTATTGGGTGAAGTGGCCTTACTTCAAAATGGCGAAGTCAAAATATGAGTTTACGATAATTAAGTAACAGCGATTATTTTAACTATACGGCATTTTACTGCAGAATCATAATCTACGATATTTTTTTGTTACAAAATATTAATTATCTTTTTATTTATTTTGTTTTGTTTTTTTTTTTTTTAATAAGTATAAATAGATAAGACATCTATCTTTGTAATGAAGATATTATATAGGCATAACATTTATTTATTAATTAAATTGTACCTAAAGGCTAAAACCGCATACAGTGTAGTTGTTATGTTGTACGGTACGTTTTGTATCTTATTAATGTTTTACTTTTCTTTGAATATAAATTAAATTATTTTGAGATAATATTTAAACAAATCGCAATATCATATCCTCAAAAACAGCATTGTTTAAAATATTTAAGATGAACGAATTTACTATAAGATAACTCGTTAACACAAAAAAAACGATTTTATATCATTGTTTTATCTAAGTTACACTTGAATCGGAAAGATGATACATTGTTATGCGCTGACTTCTTGCAGTTTTTAGAGTATAAGGTTTTAAAATGTTTTATACTTTTATCATTCTTGAAATAAGATAAATTGTTATTTGATTTTTATTGTTTAACTTGATGTTTAAATATAGTATATACGACAAATACATTGAACAAACATTATTATTTAGTTGAACGATGATGGATTTTTGTATACTGGTTGAAAAATGTAAAAGGTTTGTAAATAAACTTATTTATTGTAACAAACCAAATATTAAAAAAAAAAAAAAACTGATGACTAAAATAAAATAAGAGAGTCTAATTCCAACGAATTTATTATTAATAATATTGTTTTAACTATGTATTTTTATTTTGAATACAATAAAATCATAAAATAAATTACCATATAACTGTATATATATATTTACAACAATTCTAGCAGCGTCACTGTATTTTTTATTTGGAATCGTGTTACGTTCGGGTAAAACAAAAATTTGAAGAATCGTGTATAAAAAGTACATATATTATGCAAAATCATATGTTACCTAACCTAGAGTTCTTAATTCGAGCCTGTACATGAATAAAATACCATGATATAAGATTATATCTAAATTAGCGTTGTGTACGTCGCAATAAATCAATATACCGTAGTTATATAGACATACGATGCAGATGTATCGCCGCAGCCAAAAATTGGAAAATACGTTTGGTAAGACTGTTGCGGCGGCGCCGTCGTACTATTCGTTGTAGTCATTATTCGTTTCCAAGTATTATCCACAGCGAATAATGAACATAATATACCGTGTGTTCACCAATTTAAATAACATTGAATTTCTCGGCCAGATAAAATCAAAATAAAGCGAATTTTTTTTTACAAACTAGTGGTATATAAATCCACATTTATAGATAAATTTCAACATCATTTTTATCATTCTGGTATGGGCATTCGCAATAAAAATATATATTATTTTTGAATAGCAACACCTATTTTGAACACCATATTCGGTAGGCCTAATTTGAATGTGTCGTATCAACTATGGTTCTAAATTAAAAATTGACTGAATAAAAGCCATTTCCTTTTTAATAAATAAATAATTTTTTATGGTTAATTAAAATACATAAAATCATCTATAATTATTTATTATTAGTTAATTTTTGGATGTTTTTACGTATTTTTTTTTTATATCTGTTGTAAATGAGATTTACATAATACACGTAATATGGGTATACATATCGTACATTTGTTTATTAATATTATTTATAACAGTTATTTTATTATACAATTTATTAAATAAATTGTTCAGTTTCCTCCATTATTTTTTACGCATAATTGAAATCGTCTTGAGACATTCTCTATTGGTTATTGACATTATTTGACTTTCAGTTATGTTATTACACAATACACATAACCACGATTTTGTTTTTTAAATCAGCAAAACTAGCAGGTAGTTCTTTATAAACTATCAAATGGAGTAATATCTGGTGATCTTGCTGGTCATTGAATAGGTCTTATTCAAAATACGTATAAAATAAAAATATATGAAAAAAACATTCAATAATAAACCAATAATAAATAATTATATATAATTTTATGCACTTAAATTAACCGTAAAAATGTATTTATTTATTAAAATGTAAATAGCTTTTGTTCAGTCAATTTTTAATTTAGAACATAGTTGATACGATACATTAAAATTAGACCTACCGAATATGGTGTTCAAAATAGGTGTTGATGTTCAAAAAAAAAAAAAATAATATTTTTATTACACATGCACATACAGAAATGATAAAAATTTTGAAATTTATCTACAAATTTGTATTTATATACCACTAGTTTGTAAAAAAAATTCGATTTATTTCGATTTAATCCAGTCGAGAAATTCAATGTTACCTAAATTGGTGAACACTCGGTATATTATTGTAAATCGAGTACCTAATGGTCCTAATGTATTATTAATCTGCCCAGAGAGTGCAAATTGTAATAAATAATAATAACTGGGAGCCCGATATACGTGCACAAAAAACCTCGGAATATGCATTTAAGTCATTAAAGAATACCATATTGTTATAATACACGATATGCTCATTAAATTTAATAAAATTAAAAAGGTTTATTTTTTGTTGTGACTAGTTGCCCAAACTATAGTCGTTTAGTCAAGAAATACCAAACCTATCATAGATAATATAGAATAAATAGGTCAAAGTTATTTCAAAAACAATTAGGTAACGTTTTCGAATATATTTTTGTAATATCATTTTAAATCGTCAAAAACGACAATTTTCTAAAAAAAATATATTCTTGTTGTTATAACTATTGAAATATTTTTTTTTTAATTGACAACATGCATTTTTAATTTTTATTCTTCGGTAAAATATTTTTGTAGTACTTTCATGTGTCATAAAATTTAAGTTTAGACAATTAGTTCATGAGATATTAGTACTTGGAGTTTTAATAAGTAGAATAGCGTAGAAAGATACCTTGCAGTGCTATTCCACTCATCTAAATTTCAAATACTTATAAGTTATAACCATAAGAACCTACTTGTTTGAAATTTTATTTTGATAGATAGAAATACTCCGAATACATTCTGCTTTAGAACATGGAATTAAAACTTTTTGATGTTATTTAAAAGAATAAAAAACTTACAAAAATACAATTTTTTAACAGAAATATTGTATTTTGATGATATATAATTATTTAAAATCCATGTTTTCTAAAAAAATAGTGTTAACTAAAATAATAATTTCCTACGTTAAATGGAAAATGTTATGTATTATTATTTTGAAAGAAGTTATTGGTCATTTTATATTGTATTGTGCTTCACAAATGTCTAGTTGGTATAAATAAATATATATATATATTATGGTTCATTTCTAATTTAAAACTTTAATACACAAATATGTATATAAAATTGTTATATTAATTTTAACTCTTAATATTAACTCTGGACTTAATTGTTTATAATTTTGTAAATTATTTGTGTTTTTTTTTTTTTTTAAGCAAATTTGAACTTTTGAATATTTAGTATTTTTAAAAACATTAATTTCTAAGCCCTAATTATCAACATTCACTGTCTATATATTAATACATTATCACATTGACAAATTATTATATCCGATCAATAATGAGTGATCATATCAAATTGTATCGATATCAATAAAATTAAAATGTAC